CTGACATCCTCCCACTTCTTCAAAAAATCTTTAATAGCAGATGTCAGCATTGGTCCCCTTTTGTCTCTCTTTTTCAGAAGAAAACACATCTCGCTGAGATTCTTGATGTTTTTCATTTAAGAGTTCTTGGAGTTCTTCTATCATCAGATCAGTTTCCATTATGAGCTCTTCAATGTTCTTTATTTCTCAGATGTGATTTTCATTACTCCTTTAGCTGCTTGAGTCTTCTTGATTATATCTTTCTTAGCTAAGATTGTGCCTACTACAGACCTGTTCAAGCCTAGCAACATCAGATATCTTCTGTCCATTCTCTATCTTGGCTATTATCTCTTGCTTGGTTTCTATGGTGAGCATGGTTCTTGACACTCTACTCTTTTTATGTTCCATAAAATTATCAATTTCTTTCTGAAATAAAAATTCAGAGAAGCACTCACAAAAATTCAGAGAACAGAAATTAACTAACACCAGGCCTCGGAGTCGCTCACTTATTCTCACTTTTCTGAAGTATCCTCACTTTTCAGGTCATTTTCTCACTTTTTTGGTCATTTCCACGTGCTTAAAAATTAGGAAGATGTGGGACCAATCAAAAATAGTTTTAAAGCCAGACGATCTGCCGAATTATCGAACTATCGGACTAGATTTTTATGGAAAAAAATACTCCGCCCGAGCGGGACTCAAAATCGCAACTGCCGCTCAGTGTTGTTAAGTTATCGTCTGTATTTATACGTAACTAGGTAGTCAGTAAGGCTGTGTACACACTAGGCGTTTTTAAACGCGCGTTTTAAAGAACCAAGAGTTCTACATAGGCGTACACACTCAAACGCGCGCTTTTGGCCAAGCGCGCGTCAAACGCGCGTTGATAGATTTTTGTTAAAACGCGCGTTTTGCGGGCGTCAGCCGAGCGCTTTGAGATATATGTGCTGCCATGTTACTGTACATTCGATCGCGCGTTTTCGGGTAGAGTGGACGTACGTTGGCCGAAATGGAGAACGATCATTTCGATACTGATCTATTTATTGATGAAATCTAAAAGAGACCAACCATTGTCAAATGATTTTATAGATATTTTAAAAGAATTAAAAAACTTGGGTTCATTTTGTCTTAGTTTTGGATACAACGTCGCGAACATTCCATGTGTCAGTCTATCTCGTAATATTGGGTGCACCCAAAATTCTCTTTGCCTCTGCCATCGTCTTTTATAGCGACGATGGAGGAGGGGCACACAAGCAATTACTTTCACGTCCATTTCCAAGCTGAGCCAGTGCGTACGCTCTATTAACGCTCGTCGAAAGCCGAGCTAACGCGCGTTTAAAAACGCCTAGTGTGTACACAGCCTTAATTAAAACAAAAAATAATAATTAAATTTAAAAATATTTAACTTAAATTTAAAATTAAATTAAAATTTTAAAACTGTTCTTTATATCGAAACAAAAACCGAAACCGTAGCTAAAATTAAAAATAAAATCAAAATTAATTAATGTAAATTAAAATTGAAGTCAAATCAATTGAAACATATTATTTGGGAAGGTGCGGATAAAGTACTTGTCGATCTTGATTAATTTGGTTAGGTCTATATTTCATGCAGGCAGAGTTGAGAGTCTATTTATAGCACTTATTTGTAAAGGGTTAGTTTCGGTTTCGGCGGTGAGGGAACATCTGCAGGAAAAAGTTCCTCGTTATTTATGAAATCATTAATAAAATATTATTTTACTTATTCTATTTGAAATCTGTTTATTTCGGATTTATTAATTTATTTTTAAATCAATCTCGAAGCATTTTAAAAAATAAACAGTTTCCGATCGTGCTCATAAAAGTTTCGTTTTCTGCTTATTATCGTTTGATTTTGTTCGTAATAAGAGTTGTTAATTTTATTTCAAATTAATATAATAATCACATTACAAAAATGGAAAATTTATATACAAATAAAATTTTGAAATACGTTAAACTATTCAATTGTAAATATAGTTTGTGTAGATCTAAATAATTTACATTTAATGTTAATTTTTGACAAATTATATATATTTAAATGATCAAATAGAATTGGTAAAACATGCAAAAAGTAATTTTCTAAGTATTGCTTTATTTTATTGGTAATTTTTTTATTCTGTTCTATTTTTAACACGTGCAGAGAAGTGACCGATCACGTGGTCAACACGTGTTTACTCTCTTTCGATTGTGATCGACCAATAAAAATCTCTAGCGGAATGATACCGACAAACTGTTGGTTTATAGCAGGTTCCAAGTTAGAATATAGATGTAATGGTTTGAATCCACTCAATATGACGCTACCAAAGTGCAAATTCCGAACTGATTGGTTGAAACAAAAGGACAAGGCAGATTGTACAGTAGGATTATGGGCAACTGTACGTTCAGACACTGATGTATTTTGCAAAGTATGTAATTGCATAATACAAGTAAAAAAAGGTTTCCAAGCACTTTTTGATCATGGAGGTACTGTCAAACACAGACAAAAATTTACCTGTGCTTATGGTCCAAGACAGTTACACCTGACATTGGTTGCACCAGGTGATAGTTTTGCAGGCCCATCAAAAAATGCTGAAATTCCAAGTAATACTGATAATGGGACTGGAGAAGGATTGGCAACTGTGAGTTTATATAATCCAAGAGATGTTGCATACCATGCAGAACTGATATGGGCCATGAAAACAATATGTAGTAATTTCTCATTTGCTGCTTCTAATAATATGGTTCCAACACTACAAGCAATGCTTCCAAAAACTAAACTTCCTGAAGGAATATCAATGAGTGAGAAGAAATTGCGCTATTTAATAACTGAAGCATTGGCTCCCTACTTCCAAAAAAAAAATGCTAGAAGAAATCCACTCTTCATTTTTTACAGTTACTTATTATGAAACCATCAATGTGGAAAGTAAGAAAGAGTTACAGATAATGATTAGATTTTGGTCTGAGCAAAAAGAACAAGTTGTCTGCAGACACCTAAATACATGCTTTCTTGGACGGGCAGATGCAGAAACATTGCATACATACATTATCAAAGCTATCGATGATGCCAACCTGTCACTACACAAACTTTTGATGATAGGATCAGATGGTCCTAATGTTAATCAAAAAGTGTTACGACTTTTTAAGGAAGATATACTGGGAATTCGCAAGAAAAGTAGTTTACAGAAACAGAAAAAAAGAGCAGAAGAGGAAGCACAGAAAAATTTTGAAGAACATCAAAAGAGAGCTATTCATGTCAAGGAAAAGATTATGGCACTGCAGCAGAGTTTAAAACAGAAAAAAGTAGAAGTGAAATACACGAGACAGGCCAGGTTTTGTTAGAAGCAGCAAACAAAAAACTGGAGAAGGCCATTAATAGCAAGAATATGAATGAAATACGGGCAGCACATGTCATGCTTGCTAGTGTTAAAAGTGTTCAAAAGCAAGAGGAAGCAAAAAAGAAGGAAGTTGAAAACATTCAGAAAAATCTTAATAAAAGAACATCATCTTTCTTGACTGATTATTTACAGAAGAAGCCAAAGACTTATTAAGTATTCATGGTTTACTGGAAATATTACAGTATATACAAAAAGTTTTAAAATGTATTTAACCATAACAATAAAAATAAAAAACTTTTACTGCTATTTTGCTGAGTTTTCTTTCCATGTTTTCACTTTGTTTTGTCACTACAGGTAGCTCTCAGTTTACACCGCAGTTCCATTCCTACAAAATCCGGCACAAATGAAATCAGCGTAAAATGAACCCATATTTACAGTGAGGTATAGTGTTAGGATCTACATAAGTGAAAAATAAGCAAATAATTTTGTTTATTAATACAATATAATGCAAAATACATATAAGTTTAATTTTTAAAACGTATTTTATCATAAAATAAAGTGAAATGTTTTTATTAAAAAATTTTAGTTTCGGATCTCGTACATTTTTTGGAAAGAAGTATTCATCTTTAATAACCTTTCCTACACTCGATGATTAAAAAATTAGCTCACAAGAATAATTTAAGAATAATTTATCATTGTAATCCTACGATTTATAGAATTCTACAAAATGATAAGAAGAAAGGAAACCGTAACAATAGTACAGGAGTGTATTCTATTCCTTTAAGTGACCACTGTTTTAATTCAGATCTCGTTTACGTTGGTGCCACTATGAGACTTTTAAAACAGAGGCTTAAAGACCATCTTTAATTGTTTACATTTTTGTTTTCTTTCATTGAGAATTTCGGAATATGGTCGAATATGATGCTCCTTTTTACATTTGCACTTCTCTCCCAATCATTGTCTAACTCACAAAGTTCATCCATCAAACTTTCCATTGTTGAAAGGATACATTAACCCGACATAGAGCTACAGACAAGCGGAGACACTGATTGGTCGACCACTGGTTGCCGTAGCCCATATATAAGGTCAGTTTGAGCAGGAAAATTGAAGGTGGCTAAGAAGAGATAGATATCGTCTGGCCAATGAAAAGTAGATTTGTCTCACTAATGATGATTTGTGATCGCTGGAAGTGCTACTGCGTCGTAAAGTGTTTTCCTGAACGATCTGATACGGGATACATTCATTGGCACTATGGATTCAGACACCATTTATTGGACTATTAAGTTTAATAACTTGACTCGTGGGTACCTAAATGTTTAGTATTTTAATATTAATTTAATGCAAATGTATATATACCCAATAATATTAAACAGAAAAAATAAATATATTCAATAAAAATCTTTGTTTTAATGAATGTACAATGTCGCGGCTCAGTAAATATGTCAATACTGAAATGAAAATCAGTCTAGCATAGGGAAAATTGGGGAATTACACTGCAAAATAGCAAATTGCACAGCGGCATTATTGTGAATCGGTGTAAATTGAGCCGGCGTAAACCAAGGGCTACCTGTATTGCACTCACTTTTTACTCACTTTTTCTGTATTTCAACTCACTTTTCTCACTTTTTCAGAGGGGAAATGGCACTCCCAGGCCTGCTAACACAGAAGAATTATGTAAATGTGAGGTCCAAATGAAATTCAAAGTTTTGGTGATAAAAAGTTAATTTCTGATAGATATTTGTTTAAACTTTCACCTTTAGAAAACAAAAACTGATGCAAAAATTTTGTGAGACTGTCAAGCACGCGTTAAGACTATAAAAAATTATTTGTCAGAAAGGTAAACAAAAAGCTGGAATTATAATGGAGTGTTTCAAAGTTTGGAGAAATACTATCTGATTGGTATTGGGTTGAGTGTCAATGTCAACATCTCCTGCGCTCTGAAAGGTTTCAAATTTTATCTGGAGACAAAATAATGAATACCGATTGGTTTTCCTTTGTTCTGTGAAGTGTTCGTTAACTGATCATCCACTGTATTTTATTATAATGCTTTCCTTTTATAACTTTTTGCCTAAATAGTACAGATTTAAGTTTTACATGCTCTGTTATAATGTAATTGAGAAATTTGTTTTTAAATGACTAAGCTGTATCATAAATTTTTATTCCTTAATATAAAAATATAAGAAAGAAAATAATTCTATATTAAATAATATAATTTTTAAATAGATTAAAGAAGTGGCTCCTCATACTAGTGTTCCTCAAATAAAACGATTCTGGAAGCAAGATGTAAAGGTATTTCAAAGTTAAAAAATATTTTCCTTTGTATTTACTTTGAAAATAAAAAGAAAAAGAATAAGAATTTTATACAAATTATTTTTTTTAAATATTTAAAGATGTTTTAAATCTTTGTTTATAATATTTTAAAACAAATTTTTTTCTAGATTGCAAGAGATTACAACAAAACTGTAGCTCATAAAGATGCACGGACATTAGGGAAACAGTTTCTTACAGAATGGGCAGTAAGTTACCTCTTTTAAACAAATTTATCATATTCATATAAAATATAATTATTGAAATTAAAAAACTTTTTTGATATTAATACATAAAATATTTATTGAAAAAGTTAATGTTGCTGTTAAAACCAATTATGTTTTCTTCTGTTTATATTGAGTGTAAAATCTGTTTTAATGTAACAGTTTCACGTTGTGTGTAAGTAAATATAGAAATAATGAACACTCATCTGTTTTATCATTACATCTGATTTTATCTAAATCATAATCCAAAAATTTTGGCATTAATCAGACTAATTCTAAAAATTAATTTAAAACTTGCAAAATTATTCTAAATTAATTGATAGTTTGAGTTGAACTCAAGTCTGTATCTCACCTATTTGGCAGATATGTTATTAATTATACTTTTCAAACCATAATGTAGTAATAAATTCCTTTCATATCATACAATTTAAAATTAATACTTACATATAACATGGCACAACACCATGAAAAGTGGAAAGATACAATTAAAGCAGTTAATTCATAATATCACCATGTTCTCCAAAAGGGCACAAGACTAAGATGACTTACGTATAAATTATTGTAAACTGTTAAGATTATATGAATTCAGAATTTATACGTAATTTGGAGGGAATTATATTTTGCAAGGTCCAAAGAGGGCATAACTGATAATATATTTACTTAGAACAAATACATTATCAATTGATCAATTGCAAGTTTCAGTTATTCACTGTTTTGTTTTTTCAGCTTATATTTTAATTTTTAATTAATTAATAAATTTAATAAAGATATACTAAATTAACAGATAATAATTATGTGAGACCTACCATTTTCCCTACATTTTTTTGTCTTTTATATACATGTACAGTATATGAATTATCATCAGCATTATCAGGGGCATGCCGTGACATTTGATGATAGGGAAGCTGTGTTTTTGTAACAAGCAGACTTCCAGGGGCAATCAGTCAGTGATGGTCTAGGGCAGGGGTCGGCAACCTGCGGCTCTTTGGATGTGAAGCTGTGGCTCTTTAGTTCCATACGCAAATATTATTTATTTTATAAAAAAAAACATTTAAAAATCGTTCTGAATCAATTAACGAGGATTAGGCACCGATTCTATCTCTCAGCCACTTGTACTCGCTTTTCACCGCACCCCTCCCCCGTGACACGCGTCGTCACTGTCGTCAGTCCGTCGGAAGCTCTCGAATGACGCCGTCGTCGGATGTTTCTATTATCTAATTTGTTGTGAAAAACACTACTTATATATGAATAAATAGATATTTTTTCTTATGAATAAATAGATTAGTTTTTTTT